TGCACCCCGCTCGTACACACACAACGTCACCTCGCCCTCACGGATCTCACCCACTCACCGATCTCCTCTTTCACTCTCTCCTCCCGGGGCCTTCACCATGTACTCACACTCATGTTACATAAAATAACCACACTTTCTCACATATCTCTCCCATTCTCCAACGTCTTCATTCTCTCTCTTCCTGCGGCCTCCTTCGTGAGCACCTCTATGATTCCACCTGCCATCCACAACCGCTTGTCTCTACCTCGTAGTCTATTGCTCTACATACTAAACGGGACCTAGATTTCTCAACTTAAGATCACATATTCGAAATCACTCCACATCTATACAAGAACTCAACCGTACCTCCCGTCTCCATTTTTCTCCTTCTCTTGGCTTGCTCCGTCACCGTCCTCTGTCTCCTCCTCTCTCTCTTCTCGCTCCTCTCCGCTCCGACTATTCTCTCTATCTCTCTCGAACCTTCTCTTTCCCATGATCTCTCTTATCTCTTTTATTTCTTTTCCTCCCTTTTTTTCTTTCATCTTTTCTCTTTTATTTTCTTCTCAAAACAACGTCGTTTTTTTTTTCCAATTACTACATTACATGTATTAATATATAATTTTTATTGATTTATATATGTAATATATACATTTTTAAATATAATAATTTATCAAATTTGTAACACCCACCTAATTTTTTTTTAAATTAACAAATATAATTTTTTAATTAATTAATTTATATTTTGTTTTATTTTAATTTAATAGAAAAAATTGAGTAAATTGATAAAGGATTAAATTGAAAATAATTTTGGAAAAAATGGTGAAAATTTGGGTTCTTGTTGTATTTTTGAAAGAAAAATCGAAAACCAGATGTCAAATGCAATTTAGAAAAATTGTGCCACGTCAGACGCCTGGTCAGCAGTCCTGACTTACCATGACACGCTAAATGGCAGAGGCGCTAACGCGGGAGGCCACGCAGGGGAAGCCACGTGGGCGATCCGCGTGCGTGCGATCGAACAGTTCAAATCCGTTCCTGCGCACACGGACGACCCCAGAGTAAATTGCACACGGACGGCCCATATTTGATCACGATGAACGATCCAGATTTACTCTCTATTTAATCGCGATCAGACGATTCATATCAAAAGCGATGGACGAATCAGATCAAAATTGGACGGGCATAAATAACCCCATCTGCACCCAAACCCTAACCCTAGCCGCCAGAATCCCTCGCCGAAGAAGACAACTTAACCACATGAGAGCCGACTGCCGCCGCATCAGAACCCTTTTTGACTGCTAAAAAGGGTAAAAGTTTATCCTTTTGCACGAAATTCAATTTTAATCCCATCCGTGGCTAAATCAGAGTGAAAGAACCGGTCAATTGGCTGAAAAATACCAATGAAACCCAGCGGCGCTGCCGCAGAGAATTTCACAAACTTCCTCCGATGAGGCCTTTCTCGATTCCCATTTTGTGTGATTTTTCCACCGTTGTGATCACCGTTTTCTTCTCTATAAGTTGACCGAAGTGAAACACCCAACCAC